TTAAGTTAGACATCCAGGAGGAGTGAGAGTAAGCAGGAGAGCTTTCCAGGCAGAGGGAACTGAATCTGTTGATGATGGTGAGAGGGAAGATAGCACAAGCAAGAATTGGGTGATGTTGGGAAGAAATTGGGTGTGGGGATGTAAGAAAGTTGGAAAGGGTAGTGGGAGAAGCAAAATGGATTTTAAGCGGCTGAGTGGCACAATTAAACCATCAGCAACCAGAGGGGAGCAGTCTGGGCATTTGGAAGATCACTCACGAGGCTCTCTGTAATTCAGGCAAGAGGTAAAGATGGTCTAACTTTGTATTGGCAGGGAAGATAGAGATAAGGGAAAAGCCCTGAGAGATATTAAGAAGACAGGAAAGATATGAATAAATGATTAACTAGATGTAAAGGAGAGTGAGGCATAGAGGATAACTCTCAGGTTTCTGGATTGTTCAAATAGGTAAATGATGAAGCCATTCACCAAGACGGAAGGAACACTGAAAGGCTAGGAGAATTGGTTTTGGACATTTAACTTGAAGACCTGTCCATTAAGCAATTGAATATTTGGGATCTGGAGCACAGGAGAAAGATCTGAGTTAGAGAGATGGATTTGGGGTCCTCCGCAGGGAGAATATGTCAATCTTAGAAATAGAGAGGGCACAGCATAGAGCTCTGAGGAACCACACAGCACTTCAGTCTGTCAGGAAAAGGGGTGCCTCATAGAAGCAACTACGAATAGCCAGAGGGACAGGAGGAGAGCTAGGAGAACTACCGTCTTTCCATATCACTCTTTTTAATGTTGTAACATCGAAGCGGAGCCAAAAAAGGAGAGTCCTAAGAAGAGAGAAGAACTGAATCTTTCAGGCATTTTCTCTTGCCTGGATAGATATTTTTAATTCATGAATGTTGAGAATAAAATTCTTCAAAGCATTTTTCTGGAATGCATTTCTAAATATGGCTTGTGTCATTCTGAACTGACAAAAAAACATGAGAATGGTTGGGCTTTGAACTTCATAGACAATAACTTCCCTAATCTCCCTAAAGAATTTCCTGTAGTGCTTCCACATTATCAAAGGTAGATATTTAAATTTACATTGTTGTGGACTGGAGAGGAAAGAGAATTTTCTGTATTTTTTTCTCTGAAGAGGGAATTGTTTGTGGAGTGGCTTTTTTTTTTAATAATAGCTTTATTGAAACATAACACCATATAATTCAGTCTTTAAAGTGTATAATTCAGTGATATTTACTATATTCACAGTTATACACTACTATCACAATTCATATTAGAATATTACATTACTCTTAAAAAACCCCCAAAACACCCATATCCATTAGCGGTCATTCCTCATTCTTCCATCCGCCCTAGCCCTAGGCAACCATTAATCTACTTTCTGTTTCAATGGGTTTGTCTGTTCTGGGTGTTTCATATTAATAGGACCATACAGTATGTGGTCTTTTGTGTCTGGCTTCCTTTATTTGACATAATGTTTTCAAGGCTCAAATTACGTCTAGCATGTTAGTACTTCATTTCTTTTTTATGCTTGAGTAATATTATTCTATTATTTGCCTATACTACATTTTGTTTATCCATTTATCAGTTAATAGACATTTGGATTGTTTCCTCTTTTTTACTGTTATGGATAATATTGCTCTGAACTTTCATATACAGGTTTTTGTGTGGATATGTTTTTCATTCCTCTTGGATATATACATAGTTGTGGAATTACTTGAATATATGGTACTTCTCTGTTTAACCTTTAGAGGTACTGTCAGAGTGTTTTCCAAAGAATCTGCACCATTTTACAACCCTACAGGCAGTATATGAGGATTCTAATTTCTCCACATCTTCACCAACACTTGTTATTGCCTGTCTTTTTCATCATAGCCATCCTACTGGTTGCGAAGTGGTATCTTGTGGTTTTGATTTGCATTTCCCTTGATAACTAATGTTGGACATCTTTTCATGTGCTTATTGACCATTAGTATATCTTCTTGGAAGAGTTCATCTGTATTTGATCATCAGTTCTGGCAAACCTGAAACTAAAAGAACAGATGAACATATTGAATAGAGAAACAAGTGAATGTATGTGTAGTGAAAGATGATGTAAAAGATAAAGGACAGGCTCCCTAGAGAAATAGCCAGCACTTTCTACCCATATCAAGCCTGACCTTGAGAATCCTGTTACTTAGTGGTGCTTGAGGATCCTGTTACTTAGCCGTGACTGGAAGTAGAGACCATGATCTCTGCTTTCTTCTCCGTAGCACCTATCCTAAGGCCACAGATACTGCAACCACTGCCAGGTTTCTGCAGACCGGTGGCCTGACAAATAGGTAGTTTGCCACATGGATGAACAAAGGTTCATCTATATTGAAGCATGTATCAGAATTTCCTTCCTTTTTAAGCTGAATAATAATAGTCCATTGTATGGTTATAGCACAGTTTGTTTATCTATTCATCCATGGACATTTGGCTTGTTTCCACCTTTTGGCCATTATGAATAATGCTGCTGTGAACATTGGTGTACAAATAACTTCAAGTTCCTGCTTTCAGTTCTTTTGTGTGTATACCCAGGAGTGGAATTGCTGGATCATATGGTAATATGTTTAATTTTTTGAGGAACTGCCATACTGTTTTCCATAGTGTCTGTACCATTCTACATTCCCACCAGCAACATGCACAGGGTTCCAATTCCTTCACATCCTTACCAAGATGTTATTTTCTGTGTTTTTTTTCTTTTTATAATAGCCATCCTAATGGATATGAAGTGGTATCTCGTTGTAGTTTTGTGTTGCCTTTCCTTATGATTAGGCCATTTGTCTATTTCTTTGGACAAATTACTATTCAAGTCCTTTGTCCATTTTACAATTGGACTGTTGGGTTTTGTTTTTGAGTTGTAGAAGTTCTTTATATATTCTGGATAGTAATTCCTTTTCAGATATATGACTTACAAATATTTTCTCCCATTTTGTGGGTTGCCTTTTACAAAAGTAATCAAAGGACACTATCAATAGATTTTAATTGATGAAGTCTCCTTTCCCTATTTTTTCTTTTGGTGTCATATCCCAGAAATCATTGCCAAGTCCAAACTCATTAATTTTTATATATTTAATGAGTTTTGCTCCAGAAAAGTTATTCTCTTTGGTGTTTAAATTGTTCCAAGTTAAATGTCCATTGCCCACTAAGAGCTTATTCTTCAGGTTGACTCTGGGTCCTTTTCACATGAGCCCGGTAGTATTAGATGGGTTCCCTGCTTTTTAGTTATGGGCTTGATAAGAATTGCTGGGCTTATCTTTTTTTTCTGTCCCCAGATGTAGAAGCAGGCATTTCTATGAGGAGCTCTGATTCTTTTTGGTGTGAAATAGTATTAGGGCATTTGTTGCAGCTGGGATGTTCTTCTGGATCTTTTTCATAAAGTAAATATGTATGTTTTGGAAAGAAGAAGATAAGTCATGATTTCAGACTGATAGTTCAAATTTTAATAAAGGATTAAAGGATTTTTATTTCTTTGATTTCATAGTCATGCTTCCTTTGTTGACAGTAACACAGGACAGGTACAGTCAAAACACTTTTAACTTAAAACTCTCTGTGGTTATGCCACCAACTTGATATATAGTTTGAGTTCATTTGTCTGTTCTTTATTTTTAGGGATTGTTTTTTGTTTACTTTTTAAAAATTATATAAAATATTTATGTGGTTCTAAAGATAAAACTGTACAGCAAAGTAGATTGAGAGAAGTATGTCTTCTTTCCTTGCCTTTATTCCTCTCTATATCTCATAGGTAAACATTTTTATTAGTTTTGGATTATTCTTACATTACTTATTTTTAAAAATTGTGTGTGTGTGTGTGTGTGTGTGTGTGTGTGTGTATCCCCTATACCCTACCACATTCGCATTCCATTTCTTCTTTTGTTTTTCATCTTGGCAATTGTATAATTTCCAAGAATTCTTTCCTCATTTCTTCTTTCTTTAAGATTTCTTTACAATTTTGCTTGCTTCTCAAATCCCTGACAATATCAGTTAGAATTTCTTTTCAGGTGTTTTTCTGGGACTCAAAATATGTTTCTTCTGAGATCTGATCTACTTTTCATCTTAGTTGTCCTTTTTGTCCTCTTTCTTTTCTGTCCCTATCTGGCGATCCTTGTCAATGAAGGACTAGGCTGATTTTTATAGGTAATTGACAAGAAGTTCCTGTTCTTCCAACAGTCTTCTTAGCCTTAATAGAAATTGGTTGATTTGTTGACCAGGAGTGAGAAGTATGGAGGAGAGCAGGTAGATGAACCCATTTCTCACTCGATTTCTGTACCTGCTGACTCAAAGGTGGGCTTTTATCCAGCTCCTTCAGGAAAAAGGGCTCTGCCTCTCTGCCCACCTTATTGACTCTGCATGTTCTGGAAATAGCTAGCTCTGCTCTGGTGTTTGTCATACAGTTAACTGCTTTCTCTCCATCTTCTAGAAAGTAGCCATCATTTAAGTAGACTATATCCCTCAACCCTTCTCACTGCCATTATGCCACGATTCCCTTGTGAACCAACATCTATACTTTTATGTCATTGAGATTTGGGGAGAATGGGGAGGTAAGTAATGTGCCTGTTTATTTAGCCTGTCATCTCGAAATGAAGCTGCTTTGTGTCATACCATTGCTGTCAACAGGACTGCTTTTCACTTCATTTTTTCTGTTGGGTTAATGACTGAAAAGGATTTAAAATGTGTTCTCTATAGTCACAAATTATAGCTATCACATCACTGAAACATGTGATGCTGCCCTGGGATAGGTAGATTTCTACTCAGTTCAGGAGTTGGGTGACTTTACAAGACCTTTATTGTTTGTCAGTAACTTCTTTCCAGAAAAGCAAAGATAACAAGGTCTGCTTACTTTCGCTTATAGTGTGGGAATGATAATATCATCATCAAACATTTAGGGCTTAATATGTGCCAGACAGGATTCTGTGTGCTTTATATGTATAAATTCATTTAAGTCAGTAACAGTAGTTACTGTTATTATCCCTATTTTACAGACGATGAAACTGAGGCACAGAGAGGTTAAAGAACTTGCCCAAGGTCACATAGCTGGTAAGTGGCAGAGCCAGGATCTCACCCAGTTAGTCCGCCCCCAAGGCCACTTTTTATCCACCGTACTCTCTAAAGGGACACTCTTCAGATTTTCTCAGGATGACCACTTTTTGTATCTTTTTAGTTATGGGTATAAGAAAACCCATTTACCTAACCTTTGTGTGGTTTTTTGTTATTGTTTGAAATGGAAATTGCTGATAACTATGCAGAAAGGAATGTTTTAAATGATGTGATCAGGTCTGAGTTCAATTTTAATCTCTTAAGAACTTTTGCAAATTATCGTGGTGTTGAAAAGATGTGACATCTACTAAAGGGTCTTTTTCTACTTTGTGTTTGAGAATCTTAGGCTGCAGTAAAACTTATGAACACAGGACTTAAATCTTGTAAGTCTTGGCTGTAGCTGACTTCTGAGGTCTTTCACAATGCATATTTATTTCCATGTAGCATGAATAGTGGATTCATAAATGATGAATATTTTCCCAGTGAAAATTCTTTTTAAGAAAACACAGAAATGTCCTTAAATGGATTGAACATGTTTTAGCCCTTAAGGCAGATAAATATGGGGGAAGCATTCAAAAACCAGTAAGACAAGCATTGAGAAGAATTTTATTTTAAAAAAAAAGTAAAAGTGATATATCTAGGTGCTTATATACGTTTGTGTGCATTTTAAACTTTTTATTACAGAAATGTTCAATTATATACAACAGTAAAGCAAATAATATGAACCTTGTTTACCCAGCACCCAGTTTCCAACAGTATTTTGTCAGGATATTATGATCACCATCCTGAAGACTACTCCTTAGATGGATGTCACCACCTCTGCATATTGTTTCTTGGCAAAGTCCAATTTTAAAATGATGGAACTTGAATGGTATTTCATTTCTGTGAAGAGGGGGTATAGCTCAGGGGTAGAGCATTTGACTGCAGTTCTGTGATATTTCCTTGAATTCAACAGTCTAATTTTGATTACAGGAAAAATAGCAACACCAGATCTGTTAAAAATAAATTAAAACCAATTTTCATCTCAAGGGGTTTGTTTTCTCTGCTTGGAGAAGAACCCCAGGCTTGACTGTGGGACTTAAGTAGACTTGTTAAAAGCAATTATGATACAAACAGAAGTTTTTATTGAATTGTCCAACCAGCTGTTTGCTTCTCAGAAGTAGAGTCATTTATCACATGTGGGTTCCCTTTCTGGATTCTTGAATGAATAGGAATATTAGTGAAATACCTGAGTTGTGTTAAGTGGTGTTCATGCAGTAAGCATCTTCAGGTGTTCATGCTCAGGTACCCTTAATCTTGTCGCTTTCAGTAGATTTTCAGCAGATCATTTGGTTTTTAAGTTAAAACATGCATCAGACTCACCTGGGAAGCTTTTTAAAAATGCGTATTTTCTGCTCCTGTCCTCAGAGATCGATTTGTTAGATTTGGATTGTACCCCATGGACTCACATTTTAATAATAATCCTTCTTTTAAGAGTGGTATTCTGATTCTGATATCAGGGAAGGAAGTCCTTCAGCCATGATTGGTTTTCATGGCTTCTTTTCATTCTAGTCTCAATAAAGTTAATGTTAATATGGCATCATGTGAAAAAATCACTAAAAGTTTCCATTCTTAATGACATGTTCAGTGGCTGTTATGATCACCCCCTCTACACTGATATGACCTATAGACAGACTTATCCTAATGGAGGGTCACCCTTGATCCTGGACAGTTTGATTCTGATGCTTATGGTCTAAGGACCACACCTTGAGAATATAGGTACATAGGTAGTGAGTGGTATGGGTGTAAAGGGTCCCAAGTGTATTTCTCTTTGTTTCCCCTTAATATGTTAGCCTGAGCCCTCCACTGCTTGGTTACCTGCTAGACCAACACTAGATACAGGAAGCGAGGCTGGGTTTTCACGAAGTCACCTGTTGCTTCTAACTCTATGTAGCCTTTCTCTGGGGGCACAGGAAGCACAGGGAATGTGGAGGGCAGATGGTTCTTCACTTAGGGCTCCATAGCCAAAATGAATGGAAACTTCGGTATTTTGAATTTATGTTTGACTAAGGAGTGTCCTTTCATCAGTTTCTCAAGGGAATCTGTGACCTTTCCCTCCCCACTGATTTCCACTCCCCCACTCTGCATACGTACACACAACAAAAGAATCTGTCTTGGAGCAGGCTGTATAAGAATCACCTGGCCTCTTGAAAGCAACTGTGGGGACTCCACATTACAGAACAGCTTCTCCTGGTCACAATTGCTTTCACCATCTGGTCAGAACTTTGCAACACACAGCTGAGCTGGGTGGACAGCTATGACCAGCTGTAATGCTTACCCATTTTTCCATATGTCCCCCTACATTTCCCAGCCTCTGTTGTAGTTACATTGATACCATCTGACTAATTCTGGCCAAAGGGCTATGAGAGGAAGTGATATCTGTCACTTATAGCAGGAAGCAGTAAAGGATGGGTATGAGTTTCTTTTTTTTGTGCTAAGGTGACTATGGAAAACACAAGTTTCAGTGATGTTCATATGAGTTGAAGAAGGGCTACCAGACCCACATTGAACTTCATATGAGCAAGAAATAAATATTAAGTGAGGCCACTCATTTAAGGATTTGTTACTGCAGCTTAACTTAATCTATCTCCCAGTCTGGATATTCAGAACAGAACATTTATGTATGTGTTCGGAGTTCTGAGAGTCAGGATACTCAAGTGTGATCCTGATACTATGTGATCTAGTGCAAGACATTGGGTATCCTAGAATTTTTTCCCCCTTGTCTGTAAATTGAAGGGCTTAAATTAGATGATCTTTAAGGGCCAGGTTCTGGATAACAGCATTTAAATACAGATTTCTAGTTGGAGTACGAAAAGGAGACTAAGTCTGACATCAAAGGTATTGCCAGGAAACTTATTTTTTATGTACAAAAGGTATATATCTTTTGCTGTTAAATAAGTCACATAGGAAAATGGCAATGAAAGATGAAATAACGACTTTATCAAGATAAATTCACGTACCATATGTGTTTTAGTATATTCAGAGTTGTGCAACCATCACCACTACCCAGCTTCAGAATCTTGTCAGCACCCCAAAGAGAAACCCATTTGCAGTGACTCCTTGTTCTACAAATATACTTTCTATATCTATGGATTTGCCCGTTTTGGACATTTCATGTCAATGGGGTCATATAATGTGTTGCTTCATGTCTCCGGCTTCTTAACAGTAGAATTGCTTGGTCATATGGCACATCTATGGTTAACATTTTGAAGAACTGCCAAATTGCCTTTCACAGTGGCAGTATCATTTTGCATTCCCACCAGCAATGTCTGAAGGTTCCAGTTTCTCCACATTCTCACCCACACTTATCTTCTATTTTTTTGTTTGTTTGTTTGTTTTTATTGTAGCCATCCTGGTGTGTGTGAACTGGTATCTTACTGTGGGTTTGATTTGCATTTCCCTAATGACTAATCATGTTGAGCATTTTTTCATTTGCTTATTGGCTAGCTTTGAAGAAAAGTCTATTCAAATTCTTTGCCCATCTTTTAGTTGGGTTAGTTGTCATTTTATTGTTGACTTTTAAGAGTTCTTTATATATTCTGGATACCAGACCCATAACAGATATATGATTTTCAAATATTTTTGCCAGTACTGTGGGTCGTTTCTTCACCTCATGGTGACCTTTGATGCCCATTTTTAATTTTGACGAAGTCCAATATTTCTATTTTTTCTTTTGTTATTTGCACTTTAGTTGTCATGTCTAAGAAACCATCGCCTGATCCAAAGTCACAAAGATTTATACCTGTTTTCTTCTGGGAGTATTATAGTTTTAACTCTTACATCTAGGTCTTTGATCCATTTTCAGTTAATTTTTGTGTATCATAAGATAGGGATCTATGTTCATTCTTTTGCATGTGGATATCTAGTTGTCCCAGCACTATTTATTGAAAAAACTATTCTTTTCCAACTGAATCATTTTGGCACCTTTGTCTAAAATCAGTTGACCATAGGTGTATGGGATTATTCTAAACTCTCAATTCTATTATGTAAATATATTTCCTCATACCAGTACTCCACTGTCTTGATTATTATAGCTTTATAGTCAGTTTTCAAATCAGGAAGTGTGAGTCCTCCAACGTATATTTTTTTCAGTATTTGTTTGGCCATCTTGGGTCCCTTGCATTTCCATATGAATTTTAGGATCATCTTTCCCATTTTGATAGAGATTGCATTGAATTTGTAGATGAATTTGGTGTGATAGTATATTTTTAAGCATTACAAGTTTCATTCAGATAAACTTTGGAACCATGTAAAGTTAAAATGTTTAATGCTTATGTTACTTTTTAAAAAATTAGGTAAGTATGTGGTTCTTACTTGGCTTTCTAGGACCATCTGGCAGAGTAATGGGAGTGGATTCTCAGAGCCAGAGATAGCAGTGTGCAACACAGAACAAAGAAAGAGCACTCCTCGGGGCAGCTCGAGACACTCAAGGTGGCCAACTCAAGGCAGTGGTTTGCCATCAAAGACCACACAGTTTTTATGTGAACAGCCTTCCTCCTCTAGCACTCTTGTGGAGTGCTTCTGTTGTACATCAGAATTTGTAAAGCCACATTGATTATGATGGAGCACTTGGGTAGAGATAGATAATGATTGCCTTGTTGTCATGAATTTGAAAAAAGAACATTTGGGAACAGATTTATCACAAGTAGCCATTTGAGATTTTAAGAGTCAAGATTCTCTTGAACACAGCTGTAAATGGTGGTCAGTTTAGTTGAATTTTCATGTCAGCTGGGTTAGGGTTGCTGTACTTTTAAAGTATGTATTTGTATCCACAGCACTTTTCTCATCTCTTGTTCTTGTAACCTATTTACCTTCCTAGGTTTCTTATGCAATCACAGAATCATAATGGAGGCATAGTATTGGCCATGATGTGTGACAAAGTATGATTTGTATTTATTTTTATCGACAAAATAAGGAAAATGGAAAGAAAGAAAAACCAGTAATCAATAAGTAGACCAAACTATATACAGACATCATATAGGTTTGAAGTTTAACATAGACTAAACCATTAAAATATATTTGAACTATTGTTATATTTGGTAGAACAGATAGTTCAGGCAAGTATGAACCCTGATGTTAGCTATGTAAGAAGAATCACACTACTCTACTGTTGTAGGTATCAGAAACTATAACCAGAAATGTCCAGACCTCTCTAGAGCCAGGGTTTCTACAGAAGCTACCCCAGGATGTAAGAGCCAGCACACACTGCCAAGCTTCCCTTCGAACATCCAGAGGGGAAATCGGTACCATCTGAGGAAAGATGAGAAAAATCCTATCTGCAAACTCTGCTAGCCACTCACCTCACCTTTCAGGCCCTCTCTGTGTACTGCCCTTTGTCTAGCTGGATATCCTGATCAGACCCTCTGCCAGCCTGCTTCAGGGCCTTTGCTCCGGTGGTCCTTTCACCTGATGAATCTCACCCATCTCCTTTGCACTTGTCAAAACCTATCCTACAATCAAGGCCTACCTCAAAGTAAAATTTTCTTCATAACAACCTTCCCAATTCCTGTCTTCGCTTATCACTCCCTTTTCCACATCCCCTTAAAGTATTGTGGGCGCTGTATTTGTCAGCATGAATCCAGGCCCCGCTCAGCTTGTCGTTTACTAGCCTTAGCTTTGGAATCAAACATTTTTTGTTGCATTATTTTTGTACTACAACTCATGGAATTTTCTAGCAATCATCATGTCACAGTTCAGCTCTCACTATTGTACCAGCTTTCGTAAGGTTATAAATATGATTTCTTATTTATGTGTAGCCCACCTTTGTGGATAATAGCATTTCAGGAGTTAATGTTCCAGAATTACTCATTGTCCTGTAACTTTCCTGACTATCTTATTTTTTCCCCCTTACAGGAAATGACTTAGAGGCCTTACAATTACATCTGTGCATTTTTTCTTCAGACTTTACAGTTGAGGGCCAACTCAGTCTGGAAGCACCTCTTAATGTTACAAGGAAACCGCTACCTCAGCAAACAAAAGGAAAGGAGGAGAAGACTTATAACAAATGCTATTTTTTAAAAAACAAAAACTTGTTTTCAGAAAATAGTAAAGGAAATTTGGAAATTTTTCACTTCGAGAAGAAGCTTTACAGATAAATGGATTTGGCAGGCAGGCTCTGTCAAAATTCTGCAGAGGTTTGATCTTCCTTCTTAAGGACTTAGTGTAAAGTAATTCTGTACTGCTTTTTAAATTGCTGTTGATCAGCTTGTGGGTTTTTGGGTTCTAACTTTTCTGGTATATTGAAGATAAATTATATTACATTTTTTTAAAGTTAAGTTATTTTTCTGCCATGATAAATACAAATATCAAAATATTCTTGCAAAGCAATTATAAGTAAACATTTTTCTCAGCAAGCGTATCTTTTTATTAAGAGAGTGGAATGCTAACAGTTCTTACACAGCATTTGGACACACTTTTATTTTTTGTCAGAGGTCCTGCCTACACTGAAAATATTAGTTATATAAACCTGTTGTCCTCATATCTACATTGGATCACATGGTCACCTGCCTCATGGAAATGCCTTTCTTAAAACTTATATTTGCAGAACTCCACTATTTTTATACCTAGCTACAGTTTTGGGGAAAAAAGAGTCGGAACCCTGACCTACTCACGGTCACTGGGACAATTCCCTCTCCCGCATGTATTGCTGCAGTGCCCAGGACAGTAAAATGGACTACAAGCGGCGCTTCCTGCTTGGCGGGTCCAAGCAGAAGGTGCAGCAGCACCAGCAGTACCCGATGCCCGAGCTGGGCCGAGCACTGAGTGCTCCCCTGGCATCTACGGCCACCACTGCCCCACTGGGCAGTCTGACCGTTGCAGGCAGCTGCCACCATGCCATGCCCCACTCCACTCCCATCGCCGACATCCAGCAGGGCATCTCCAAGTACCTTGACGCTCTCAATGTCTTCTGCCGTGCCAGTACTTTCCTCACGGATCTCTTCAGCACTGTGTTCAGGAACTCTCACTACTCCAAGGCAGCCATGCAACTCAAAGATGTGCAGGAGCACGTCATGGAAGCAGCCAGTCGACTGACTTCAGCCATAAAGCCTGAGATCGCCAAGATGCTGATGGAACTGAGTGCTGGGGCCGCAAACTTTACAGATCAGAAGGAATTCAGTCTCCAGGACATTGAGGTAGCGTGTCTTATGTGTCATACTTGGGTAAGAAAATGTATCCCAGAGGTAAGTGAGAATGTTGTCTTAGTTTTTTTCCCAAATCACATAATGATGGTCTTCATTCTCTTTTTGTTGACACTCTCTCCTTATAAAAACTTTGTGCATGCCAGGTCCTGAATTGCTTTCATTTCAAAATAAGTAAGTTAAAAGATTATTTAACAAACAAATTTTATTGGAGCTTCATTCCAAATAACATAGTGTTAAAAATACAGGGTAGGGACTGAGAATTTTAAATACGATTTTGAGCTTTATTTGTGAATTGTCATTATATGGAACCATTGGTTTAATGTAGAAATTTGCACATGTGTTAATAGGATAAATTATTTTTCCAGTTCTTAATTCACAGCTGTTCACAATTGGATGTATTTGATTCTTATCAGTACATTTCCTAGGGTCTTTGACCATCAAAATGAAATATTCTCCCTCTTTCAGGGCTCCGGATTAAAATGTAAGGTTAGAATACAGATTTCATTCAGAATAAAGATGACCTTTTTCCTTTCTTCATTTAAGAAATGATTTATAAAATTGTGCTGTGTTATATTAGTGTCGCTGCTAGATTTTTTAAATTAATTTTAGCTGCTCAGAGAGTTCTTATGAGTTTGATTTTTCCAATGAACATTTTAGCAGCACATCATAGGTTAGCTTTCTGAATGCTATGAGGGAGAGTGTCTTTTTCCCCATTCTGGAGCTGAATTTGATTTTAGGAAATTAGCAGTCTCCTAAGCCAAATCTGATGATCGAGGTGGCTGAATAAGCTACCTTATACTCCTGTGGGTTTGAGGGGAGAGGGGGAAGAGGTATACTATTAAGTAACATAACTAATTTTTATTGTTTTTAAAAGCGATTTTGAAGGCATTACCAAGAAGAATTTAGAACTATTTTTGAAAAGGCACACTATTCTTGGCGGAAATCAGAGATCATCAAACTTTTTCTGTAGCAGGCAAATAGTAAATTTTAGGTGTTATGGGCCAATGTGGTCCCTGTCATATATTCTTTGTTTTTGTTTTTTTATAACTCTTTAAAAATGTAAAAACTAGTTTGACCTTGTGGATTGTATTTGGCCCATGGGCTATAGTTTCCTGAACCTGCTGGTATAAAAGTATCACTTCCTTGGGTCATTCTGTTTTAAATCTATATAAACATATTTATAATTTCTGATTATTTGTATGATCACATTTTATATTCAAGAAAATTATTATTTTGAAGTTTTTTTTAAATGGCTTGTCATAGTTTAAAGTATTTTTAAATTACATACATAAAGCATGTATTTTTTAAAAAAACGTACTTCTTAAAAGAAATTCCAGCAAAACTACTGCTTTGCTCTCCTATCTCATTCCTTTTCCCAAAAGTGACCACGGTTAACTGGTTGGTATGTACCCTTCCATACTACTGCCTGTGCACAGGTACATATTTGTGCAGGTACAACTGTAAAGCTTCAACTTTTGTTTGTTTTATATGAAGAACCATGTTATTCAGCCAACAGTGTGCCTGGTCATGCAGACATGTGGCAAGAGAGCAGTTAGGGACTCTGCCCTCTTCTAGAGAGTGTTGAACAATATTAGACCCTGACTATTACAGCTATCATCCTATAATGACATAAGCACTTTTAACTTTATTTAGAATTTTAGTCAAGAGTGGTTTGAAAAATAAAGCCAACAGCTTTTATTTTAACATGAACATTGAGCTCTTCTTCAAGCCATACTTCCAGGTGCTGGAGGAGACAGACTTAGACCTGCATGGCTGTTTGCCCTCCAACTCTGTAGGGCAAGTGCCCTTGTTCCCCAAGTCAGGACACTAGAAGATGAACCGACCACAAGGAGTAGGGTTTTAGTAAGCTGCTGAGGCACTGTAGCATCTACCTTTGTCCCTTCTGCTTCCCTGGGACCAGCATGGACCACTTGAGCTGAGAAGGGGAATACTTCATTTTTTGTTGTGGTTTGGAACTTTGGCTTGGCTTTCCCCATTGAAATGTGATGTGGATAGCTAGAATACTACCATGTGTTTCGTACATAATGAGCCAAACAAGATTTCAGAGGCTAGATAGACTGGAAACTGAGTGTTGTTCATGGGTTTTAGAGTCTGTGAGTGTATTCTAAGTTTGAAACAGCTGAGTTACAAGTAAACTCTAAAATGCAATTGCCAGGTATAGGCCTGCAGTCTTAACATTTTGCTTTTTCCACAAAGCAGTATTTGTTATATCTGGAATTTATACATTTCCACAGACCAATAAGGTTCTCTCTCTCAGAATATTCACCAACTTAGATGGAATGGCTGAGCATTTTTTTCCTTTTGGTCTTTTTAAAGTTTTATCAGCAAAGCCCTGAAAAGGCTCTTTAACATTTATTCCTGGGGAAAGAAATCTGTGGCCTAACATTGCTGAACTTGACTGGATAGGCAAAGACTACTCAGGAGCTTAGCCCAGGATCGTGGGTAAGAAAAGCCCTGAATTCTGTATTCAAATGCTTGACCATTTTAAACCTGAGACAAAGTACCAATCCCACTGTTCTATCCTGAAGGTGCCCAAAGCATGCTTCTATTGATCCCTTATTGCTCTCATTGATTGACAGATCCTGGTGCCTGTGTCTAGAAACTGCAGTTTCTGACTGTGTGCTCTGGGGCGAGGCAGGTGTTATGTGAGTCCTGTCCTGTCTATAATCATCAATGAGTTTGCCCCTTACCCCAGGTGGTTCACCCTCTTAATCTTGCTATTAGAGAAATGGGTTGTGACTATGGTGTTTCACTCGTTAGCTAGTGCCTGTGACACTGTTATGGGGAATGGAGTCAGAAGATCTGGGTTTAGTAAATGACTCTGCTTCGTTCTGATTATATGACTCAAGCAAATCTAACATCTCTAAGCCTTGGCTTGTCCATCTATAAAATGGAATTACCACCCACATTCCAGAGTTCTTGTGAGGATCAGAAGTGATTAGTGTGTGTGAAACTCTGTACGCAGTTAGTTGTCATCATCATTATTTATTATTATTGCTTCCAACCTGGCTTGAAAGGTACTATTAGCCCTTCTCTGAAGTGCAGAGCAGAATATGTACAAAACCAATATCAGAGAGAAGTGTGCAGCAAGATATTCTTCTAACTGAAGCTCTATTAGGTGGAAAAAGTTCCCACTCCCAGAACATTTGCTCATTTCTCTCCTGGTTACTGAGGTAGGTGCCTTCCTTTTCCCTCTGTGTTTTCTCTCTTGGTGTTGTAAGGTGGCAGCAGTATTTTTTTTCTGCATGATGTAGGAACTGCCGAGACCTTTTCAGGATAAAAGCCTGAGAGAACCTCTTCCACCAAGAGTCACTCTCCTGCTTGCCTTGTGTCTAGAATGTGGTGTGAGGAACGAAGGTGGGGGAATTTCATTGAAACATTTGCAGTAGCTGGCAGCCTTTGGACAAGCCAATTGACAGATTAGGTAGGATTTTTCCCTCGCTGGATTTATAGAAAATGTGTAGTTTACATTGTATATGAACTGGAATTTTGTATAAAATGAGAAATGTGGTCTTAATCAAGTGCTTCATGGGAATTCCTTTGTATAAGTCTCGCACTGTCAGTCCGCCAAAATGTGAATTCAGGAAAAATATGCTTTCCCATATTGAATGTTTTCTTTGTATAAAGCTTTAACATCCTACCCAAACATATTTCAGAGGTAGACTGCACAGGACCTGCTGTCTGTGTCTTTTCTTTTTGAGTCTAGGAGCATCTCCACAGGTGGTTTTTACAATTGCGTTAATGCCAGTGTTCCTGTAAAATGCCAGGCAAGCTGAATTGAGGGCAGATTTCTCTTTGATTTTGTCTACTTCAGTTTCATTTGTCCTAGAAATCTGTTATCCTAAGTAAGTATCGTTTGCAATTAAAACATGTGGTTCACATTAAAGTATAGACAACCCATAACTTGATTTTCTAGTTATTAGAAAGTCACAAATGTCTACCTTTTTTTCAAACATCTATCACTTGTGTTAAGTAAAATTACTTTTTCAGTGCAAATACAAATAAAAGAATCAAAAGAATGAAATCAAAAGTGATTCATACGTTTGTTCCACAAATATTTGTTGCACACTCTATTTGTGCCAGGTGCTGTTCCAGCCACAGGAGGATACAATGGCTAACGAGACAGAAATTCCTCTTATATGGATAGAAGAGGGCTGCAGTCTTAGATAAGATGATTAGAAGGCGTCAATCAGCGGGTGACGTTTGAGTAAAGACCTGAAGGAGATGAAGTGAGGAAGCCCTGTTGATACCCAGGAAGAGAGGACTCCAGGCAGAGAGAACAGCTATGCACAATTCCTGAGGCAGGAGTGACCTTGACTGTAGGAAGAGCAGTGAGGACCTATTGTGACTGAAGCAGTGAGTCAAATGGAGAGTTCAAGGGGTGAGGTCAGAAAGATAAAAGAGGTCAGCCTTCGAAGGGAAGGTAAAGAGAGGGCAGCACGATGAGATCTGACGTTGTGCAGTAAGCAGTGATGCCACATCTCCTCTTGCATTCTTCATCCTTAGGCAGTTCTGGGGCTCTGGCCACACGTTGTGGCCTCACTGTTGAGAAGCCATGGCCCTCTGGGCAGGTGCTCTGTACAAGCATTAGAAGCCCAGGGCAGCTACAGGGCTCTCAGGAGTTTGTCTTTAAGAGGTCTGTATTGTATATCTTCCAGCATTTTTAGTGGCATTCCAAATATCACCACCTTCTAAATGGGGAGGCAAGTCTACGGCCATACTACCCTGAACAAGCTTGTTCCCGTATGATCTCGGAAGCTAAGCAGGGTCGGGCCTGGTTAGTACTTGGACGGGAGACCACCGAGGAAGACCAGGTGCTGTAGGAGTAAAAAATTAAAAAATAAGGGATTGTAAACTGACAAGGTCCTTGCAATCTGTGAGGTCAACCAAGGGTTGCTTGCCTAAATAAATAAATAAATAAATAAATAAATTAAATGAGGCAAACTTTAAATAAAACTTTTATGTCATTGAACCTGGGCTTTCAGTTGATGCACTGACAAATGTCTTTTGTACACTGT